GTGCAAACCTCTGCCAAGCAGCAAATTGTATCGCATATTATGACTTCCACCTATACCTACAACTGGCACATGATCTGGATCATTACCAAATTTAAATGAATTGTTACTTGGAATGAGGCACGACTCTGGCAAAAAAAAAAAAAAAAAAAAAAGATCCAGTCAGAGGTTTCAATTGATCCTGCTAAAAAACCAACAACTCTCCCTTTTCTTCAGTATAATACAGCTGAGGCTGTAACTACTCACTGCTCCCACCCTCTGGTTTAGGGGGGAACTGCTTGTTCCACCAAATATGCCTATCTCTCAATGCAGGAGAATCTTTTAAAACTTCCTGTAACCAGATTATGATTTGGATTATCACCAACAACCTCCAATAAAAAAAAACAACCTCCTTGGCAGAAGTAATAATCTTCACCATTTTGGTGTGAAAAGTTAGCCGCCTATTTAGGTTTCATAATATTTCTTAGTTATAAAAAAGGAACAATACATTAAATGCCATGCAGGAATTTCTTCTAGGAAACTATCTTTTTGGTATGACGGAGTATTAGGGCCAGGCTAGAGATTTTTTTTTATTTCAAGAATAAATTTGTAATATTATGAGGATAAAGTCTCAACATTATGGGAATAAGGTCGCAACATTATGGGAATAAGGTCGCAACATTACGGGAATAAGGTCGCAACATTACGGGAATAAGGTCGCAACATTACAGGAATAAGGTCGTGACATTACGGGAATAAGGTTGCGACATTGCGACATTACAGGAATAAGGTCGCAACATTACGGGAATAAGGTCGCAACATTACAGGAATAAGGTCGCGACATTACGGGAATAAGGTCGCGACATCGCGACATTACGGGAATAAGGTCGCGACATTACGACATTACGGGAATAAGGTCGCGACATTACGGGAATAAGGTCCCAAAGTTACGGGAATAAGGTCCCAACGTTACGGGAATAAGGTCCCAACGTTACGGGAATAAGGTCCCGACGTTACGGGAATAAGGTCCCGACGTTACGGGAATAAGGTCGCGACGTTGCGNAGGTCCCGACGTTACGGGAATAAGGTCCCGACGTTACGGGAATAAGGTCGCGACGTTGCGGGAATAAGGTCCCAACGTTACGGGAATAAGGTCCCAACGTTACGGGAATAAGGTCCCAACGTTACGGGAATAAGGTCCCAACGTTACGGGAATAAAGTCGCTACGTTGCGGGAACAAGGTCGCAGCGTTACGGGAACAAGGTCGCAGCGTTACGGGAACAAGGTCACAACATGTTACGGGAACATGGTCGCAACGTTACGAGAACATGGTCGCAACGTTACGAGAACATGGTCACAACGTTACGAGAACATGGTCACAACGTTACGAGAACAAGGTCACAACATTTTAATAAGGTCCAAACATTACGGGAATAAAGTTGCAGCGTTACGGGAATAAACCAATTGTAAAAGTAATATTAGGAGCATAAAGTTGAAAAATTTTGAGGTCAACTTTACAGTTTTTTCCATTTGGAAGGCCTCCTTGTCATCACTCTAATCTTTAGCTTCCTATCAGATCCAACTCTAAAATCTCTGCTAAATGTTTGTATTATTTCCTGCGAGAAGAAATGTTCGTGAAATAAAATTCAAACCTTAATCTGCTGAATGTAATAAATGATTTGGTGTTCATTGTATGGAAAATGCTGGAACAATCTGGGAGTGTGACGTCTCCGTCTTGTTCAGCCCTGGTTTCCATTGAGTCGTCCATGTCCAGAACTCACCTCTCGTCTCTCCCTCCTCACTTTTCAGAAACGATCAAAGCAGCGTAAGCTCCAGCAGAAAGCCCTCCGCAAGCGGCAGCTGAAAGAGCAGCGGCAGGCCCGCAAAGAACGCCTGAGCGGCCTGTTTCTGAACGAGGAGGTCCTGTCGCTACGGGTGACGGAGGAGGACGATCACGCCGATGACCTGGACATCCTGATGTGACACCAGTGAACCAATCAGTGCTCCCTCTAGGCCTGCAAGCTCCTGCCCAGTCCGATGCTTTGGAGCCCGTAGGGTCTGCCGACGTTCCCCAGGCTGCCTCTGCGCTCCTAAAGCGATTAGTCACAGCAGTGTGCTTGGCAGCATTTGCTTGTAGTGGCTATAACTTAGCTCGACATAATACTGAACATGCTAGTGCTTTACCTGTCTCCTGCTGCTACGTATCCCTGCTAATCGCTGTGATGCTTCGATCTCAGTGCAGCCTGCTTAGAACGAGAAGCCCGCAGGTCTGCGTCCGTTAAACTAAGACCGATCCTTTTATCTGTCAGCTGCTGCTACTAAAACCACCTCAGACAGGAGGACAGATCAGCAGTCACTTTTTATTTTGGACAAAATATTTCCCATTGTTTAAGAAAATCAGCTCTTCATTTCTCACACTCCTTTTTGCTTTGTTTGTGATTAGCTAACTAAATTTAAGTTGTTCTTAGAGGTGAGCTGGTCTGTCTTCCTATCTGCTGAGCGTTGTGGACTCATTTCTCTAAGGCTTAGATGGAGCACTGAACCCCTGCATGTTTAAATCGCTGCCCCCACCAACACCCTTTAGGGGGCAGTAGTTATTAACCTGCTTCTCAGTTTATTTTAATGTATCCTTCACTAAAACGACTCGTCTCGGTTGTAAATAGTTGGTCTCATGTCCTGCTTAGTGGCGTCAGCTCAGTTCGCTCTCTGTTTATTCCTCCTGGGAAGTTTTTGGTTGTCGCAGCCGAAAGCTGCCATATTTGTTCTGTCTTATAATTCTTTTTATCACATTCTCAAACTCAGATCTTTGTTTCTGATCTGAGCTGATCTTTGGATTGGAATGTGCATCTGCTGTATGTTTTAAAGCTACAAAATGATGTTACACCACAAAAAAACCCTAACTCTAACAGGATTGTTTTCATTCTTTTGACATTTCTAGATATTTTTTTTTGTTTTGTTTTTTCTCATTAAGCTGAGCTAAACCGCCGCAGTTAGCGCCACAAAGCCTGCTGCTTTTACATGTACTGTTCATAAAGAAATATATTAATGACAACAGTTATGTTTAAAAAAACAGGTTTATGTCTTCTGTAGCAATGAAATATTAAGATTCTATTTTGGAAATTTAAATAATTTTGAAACAAGTGTGATTAAAATAAAGTTTGTGTGAATAAGGTACCAAGAACTCCTGAAAATAAATGAATTTAAAAGTGACGTCTGTGTAAGAATCTTATTTCTAGGAGGATTTATTTACAGTGTGTAACCGGCTGGAATTCAGACTATAAAAAAAATCAGAATCAAGGTAAACTCATCAAATATATCTGAATTTCAAGAATAGTACATGTTGGCTTTATTGCAGCATGATGGGCTGTTTTTGTTTTTTGAACATTTAAACCGATAAGACGCTGGGCAGACATCAGACCGATTGAGAGTCTGTCATGGGGACACATCCCCTGCTTAAGCTAACGGTCCTGTTTTGGACTAAGAGGACAACAAATATAAAACCATATTTTATATGAATAGTCATTTATATTACTCTGTAAGCTTCTCTTTGTTTCTTGTAAGTGCAGCGTCCGTAAATTATTTGATGGCTGGAGAATCACCCAAATATACTACAGGATGAACAATTGTCCTGTTTGCTTTTCTTGTGCTCTATAACCCCATGACAAAAAAAAACCAACAAAAAACCAATTAATTTTCCCATCTTCTAAACCTCAAAGTGTCTGTAAGCCTACTCCGTCGAAAAATACCTTTGCTATACAAAGAGAAGCTGATCTAATGTTTTATTTAATACAGAAGATGGCAAATTATTCAAGCAAATAAAATCAATTCAACATCACTAACAGAATAAGTTCAAATGGAAGCAAATACAGTAAAATAGTCGATGTTAAGCAGCAATAAAGATAAAGGCTATAAATTATGATTCCAGGAGCTTATGAGAGAAAAACCATCACAAACTTTTAGCAAATGGGATGTGACTATTATAAAATAAAAACAACAAAACAAGTAAAATAGGAGCATTAAATGCAAATTTTCCAACACCTTGACTGCACCTTTAGAGTTAACCAGTTTCAGATGCTTAGAATATAAGTAAAAATTCTATTCAGTTTATTTCTATAGCGCCAATTCACAACATGTCATCTCAAGGCACTTTACAGTTCACCTAGATCATACAGTCAAATTAATCCAGAGTTTTCTATCTAAGGAAAACCAGTTGATTGGATTGACTCCTTGACTTCAATGCAATC